GTGTGTGTGTGTGTGTTTGTTCTATATATATATATATATATCGGATGATTTGTCACCTATTCGGATCGTAGACATTATTACGGCATTCCATACCCACCATGGTTATACGTGCAGAGTATATGGGATGTTCATATGCATTTATATTCATTGTCCTATCCATGGTTGTCTACATCACGTTGTTTTCATAGCCCTGAGTGTCTCCATAAACAAATGTCTTTTATCCTTTTCTAACTAATTGTGATTAAAATAGCTTTCTAAGTTGTTAGGGTTTTACTAAACCCTAACTTTGACTTTGTTTCGTCTCTGCATGTGTAGATGGCCGAACGACACAAAGGAATCCAGTCCAAATTTGATGAAATGGTCAAAAGGAGGAAACAGTCCGAAATCCTAAAAGAGGTAGGTATTTAGGGTTTTACAACCCTACAGAGATAGGGGATGCCCTGGTAGGCTTATTCTGGTGGAAGACATCATCGTATGAATACGATCGGTAGATAACTCAACACTATTGAAAGGACACCTCCGGAAGGCCCAATGCGGTCCATTCATGATGACTTGTCCACAGGATGCCGTGGCGTTTTAGGGTTTAGGGTTTGACCCCCCACTTCCTGACATCTGTTTGACATGTTTGTGACACGTTCCGATGCTTGCCCACAGGATGCCGTGGCGTTTATGAAGCAAATGGAGCGCATGGACGAAGTACTGAAAGAAGAGGAGAGAGCGCTGGAGGAGCAGAACAGGATCATCGCAGCCGAGACGGAGGAGAGGCAGGCCCACCCTGAGCTGGGTATGGGATGTGCACCTGGTTCAACCTGCACCTCGGTTTTTTGGTTTTAGGTTTTAGGGCAGGACATGGGGCTGGTGTTCGATTTGCTTTATATTAACATATCGTTAATTTAGACCCATCTGTACGCTGGTTTTTAGGGTTTTTAGGTTCAGCTGTGGAATGGTTTTTATTAGGATGAGTGTTCTGTGCGACGCATATGATTACAAAGCAGACATGCTCGCGTATACTTATTACGCTGTAGTATGAGGGGT